GCCGCCGCCGCCGCCGCCGCCGCGCCCGCGAGCGTCATCCCCCTCCTCCTCCTCCTCCTCCTCCACTCTCCCGATCTCCGCCAGCGGGATCGCGTCTCTCCACGATCGGTCGTCCGCCCCCCCCCCGCCTCCGGGTCGTTCTATACAAGCGATTGTCGGGGTGGAGTTCAAAGGCGTCAGTTGGAGTTGAAAGGCGCCGAGGGCGGGGATTGAAAGCGAGGGGTGGGCGGAGAGATGCGCCGGCGAAAGTCCTTAAGGATTGGCGTCCACCTCGCGAACGGGGTCGTATGGGGACTAGTGTATAGAACGCACCTCCGTCGTCCTCCGCGCGCGTCTTCTCGACGAGGACCTCATCGCGCCCGTCCTCGCCGACGATCGCGCGCGACGACAGGCCGTAGTGCGCGGCGACCTTGTGCGCGAGGAGGCGGTGGTACGACGACCCGTCGAACGTCAACGTCGCATCGCGCGTCGTCGTCGCGCCGCCGCCGTCCTTGAGGAACCTGAGCGTCGTTCCGTACGAGCGAACGTAACGTCGGGGTGGAGTTGAAAGGCGTCAGTTGGCGTTGATGAAAGGCGTCGAGGCGCGTCGGGATTGAAAGCGAGGGACCCTGGGCGGAGAGACACGCCGGGAGAGAAAGTCCTTAAGGATCGACGTTCACCACGCGAACGGGGTCGTATGGGGACCAGTGTGAGATGACAGAACGCGCCTGAGCGTCGTCCGCTCGATCTTGAGGACGATCATCCGAGCCGCGCCGCGCTCGGCGAGCGCGTCGCGGAGGACGGGATCGACCCTCGCGCGCGCGACCGCGTCCGCGCGCGGGTCGCAGAACGAGCCGGAGCCCGCGGGCGCGGTCGCGCTCGGCGGAGGCCGCGACGCCGACGCCGACGCCGACGCCGACGCGGCGGCGGCGCCTCCCGCGATCGCGGCGCCCGCGGCGTCTCGATCGCGGGCGCGGTCGCCGGCGCCGCGCGCGCTCGGCGCCGCCGCCGTCGCCGTCGCCGTCGCGCCGCCGCCGCCGCCGGACGACGACGACGACGACGGCGCTTTCAGCGCCGCCATCATCGCCTCGAGCGCGTCCGCGTCTTCCCACGTGTCCGACGTCGCCATCGCGCTCGCCGCCGCGCCGCGCCGACTGCCCTCCGCGGCGCTCCCTTCGCGGTCTGTTCGACCTGACCGTCTCAAGCGTCATCTGAGGTACGTTCTACACAAACGCTTCACCCACCACTCAGTTTCAACATTTGATCGCGTCCCCTTTCACACGGACCGGTGAACTTTTTTTGACTGTGAAAAGACCAAAACCTCAAAGACCCAAAACCCAAAACCTGAGAAAAAACCAAAAACCTACACGCGCTACAGACGTCGCGCTCGGCACCCCTGCCCCAGTCGTCCGCAGTTGCCGGTGATCGGGTGGCTCTCCGCGCGTGCGCGCTTTGACGTCACGCGGCATTCGCTCGATCTTCGCTCCATTCCCGCTCTCGCACACGCGCACTTCACACGCTCGTCACACAGCATCATGTTCGCCGTCCGCGCCTCCGCCTCCGCCTCCCTCGCGTCCGCCGCGCTCACGCGCCGCGCGAACGTCGGCGCGAAGAAGTTCAACCCGCTCGCGTGCCACGTCGCGCGCAAGAGCACCAAGGCTAAGATCGGAATGACGGTCGTCGCCAACTCGGGCGAGAAGGACCCGAACGCGCCGTACGACATCTACCGCGACTCCCCGCTGCGGTACATGGGTTACGCGAACGAGGTCGGCGAGGCGTTCGCCGCGTTCGTCGGCGAGACCGGCGTCGTCGCGTCTTACGGCGTCGCGGGTGCGTCCCCGCTCGCGTCCTCCGTCGCGCGTCTCATCTTGAAAATCTATCCGCGCACGGATAGCGTTGGCTCGTTCGGCAACCGCGAAACGTCGCCGCCCTCGCGCCTCGCTGACGCGCGATCCCCTCCCGCCGCCTCCTCGCAGCGCTCTACGTGTTCGCGGACACCTTCGACAAGGGCAAGAAGGCGTACGAGGGCGAAGCCGGTGCGTCTCTCCGCCTCGCGCGCGTCGACCGCACGCGTCGCCTCGGAGCGATCGTTTTTTCCCGCCTCTCGCGTGTTTTTTTTATTTTTATGCGATGCCCGCGAAAAAAAACATTCAGTCCACTCCGTTCGCCGGTCTGACTCCTCCTCCTCCTCCTCCTCCTCCTCTCTCTCGATCTTCTACAGACGAGGACCAGAAGGTCAAGCGCGGCGCGATCGTGACCCTCGACACGCTCACGTGGCAGCTCCTCGCGTCCGTCTTCTGGCCCGGGTCGTTCATCCGGGTCATGGTTAACACGACGACGGTTGCGCTCTCTCTCGCGCACCTCGACGGCATCGAGGTCAACGGCTTCGACGTCTCCAAGGCGATCCCCACGATCGTCGGCCTCGGGACGATTCCCTTCATCGTGAAGCCGATCGACGGCACGATCGACACCGCGATGGAGATGTCCGTCACGAAGGCGTTGAACGGTAAGATCGAGGGCGTGCAGGACGCGGGCGTCGCGCTCGCGACCATCTCGGCGTGCCTGGTCGTGCCGCCGACGCTCTTCTCCGTCGCCGCCGCGATCAAGGCGATCGGCGCGTAAGGTCGAGGCTTTCGTTTAACGTGATCGACGGGCAGGTTGGTGCCATCGACGGAACACCATTCTTTAAATAAATGCGATAGAAGAGAAGGGGGGCGAAGCGAAGAGGGCGAGGAGTTCGTGAAGGCGCGCGACTCATAGCGGCGGCGGCGAGACGCGCATCGTTTGTAATAAACAACACCGATTCAACATGCGATGATGGATTTGATTTTCGCGCGTCAAAAACTTCGCGCGCGCTTCTTCTCGTAGTCTAGATTTAAGTAGCGTAGTTCTATAGGCGGTGGGCGCCGTGCCGTGCCTCACCGCTCGCCCGCGCTCTTCCCGACGCCCTTCGGCATCTTCCCCGCCGCGCCGTCGGAAATTTCGCTCTGCTTGTAAAAGTGCGGCGCGATGTCCATCAACCACGACGGCGTGATCTCTATCACCTGACGCATGTACTCTTTCGTCGTGAACACGAGCTCGAAGTACACGACCCATCTCGGGAGCTCCTTCGCGAGGCCGCTGCTCGGGTGGATCGCGACCGTCTGCGGGTTCTTCACCGTTCGGTACGACCCGTTTTTCTGCAGCTTGGCGGTGTTGTAAAAGAACCCCGACGTGATGCACTTCTTGATGTTCTCGAGGTTGTTCCGGTCGCTCACGAGTTCGATCTCGACGCGCTCCAGCAGACCCAACAGCTGATCGCGTATATCCCGCGCGCGTCGCATGCTTCGCACCTGCACGAAGTTCTCGTAGCACCACTGCGTGCTGAAGTCGCAGTCCGCCCACTGAGGGTCGTTCCATACAAAGCGATGTCGGGGTGGAGTTCATAGGCGTAAGAAGCGGAGTTGAAAGGCGCCGAGGGCGGGGATTGAAAGCGAGGGACCCTGGGCGGAGAGAAGCGCCGGGAAAGAAAGTCCTTAAGGATCGGCGTTCACCACGCGAACGCGGTCGTATGGGGACCAGTGTGAGATAGAACGCGCCTGATTGTACACGTTGAGCAACGCGAGATGATCGCCGACGCCGCCGACGTGAAACGCCTGGTGCGCGTGGTCCGCGAGCTGGAGCTTGTCCTTCGGCCTGTAAAATATCGTGTTCCCGCTGGATAACATGCAGCATATCGTCGCTATCTCGTCGCTGACGCCGTACTTGTCGCTCGCGACGAGCGTCTTGGAGAGCATCGGGTCCAGCGGGAACTCCGCCATCCGCCGTCCGAGCTTCGTGAGCTCGCCGCGGTCGTTCAGCGCGCCCAACGCGTACAGCTGTTCGAGCGCCCTCAGGAGCGTCTCCGCGGGGGGAGCGTCCATGAAGTCGAAGTGCATCAGGTCGTTGATCCCGAGCGACTTGAGCATGAGCACGACGTTCCCGAGGTTCGTGCGCTGAGGGTCGTTCCATACAAAACGATGATATCGGGGCGGCGTTGAAAGGCGTCAGAAGCGGGGTTGAAAGGCGTCGAGGCGTGTCGGGATTGAAAGCGAGGGATGAGCGGAGAGATGCGCCGGGTGAAAAAGTCCTTAAGGATCGGCGTTCACCACGCCGACGCGGTCGTACGGGGACCAGTGTGAGATAGAACGCGCCTGAATCTCCGGCACCGTGTTGGGATCGAGTTCGTTTTGAAACGACCACGCCGTGTACAGCCGGAAACACTTCCCCGGCGACGTCCGCCCGGCTCTTCCAGCGCGCTGCAGCGCGCTCGCCTGCGACGTCGGCGTGACCACGAGCGACTCCATCCCGGTCCGTGGGTTGTAGCTCTTTTGCTTGCAGAACCCCGGGTCGACGACGTACTTGATGCCGTCGATCGTGAGCGACGTCTCCGCGATGTTCGTGGCGAGCACCACCTTTCGGCCGCCCTCCGGCGGCGCGTCGAAGATCTTCGCCTGCAGATCCGACGGCAGCGACGCGTAGATGGGCGCGACGACGAGCTCGGGGATCTTGCTTCCCATGGACCGCACCCTGTGCCCGATCACCTCCTGCGCGGTCTCGATCTCTTCTTGGCCGGAGAGAAACACCAAGACGTCCCCCGGCGGCTGCGTGACGTGAATTTGCAGCACCGTGACCACCGCGGCGTCGAGGTAGTCCGCCTCCGGCTGCCGCGTGTACAGGATGTCCACCGGGTACCGCCGACCGGGAATGCGGAAGATGGGCGCGAAGTCAAAGTACTCGCTGAACTTTTCCGCGTCCAACGTCGCGGAGGAGATGAGGAGCTTAATCTCCGGCCGGAACCGCGCGATGTCCTTCACCAATCCGAACAACACGTCCGTGTGCAGCGTGCGCTCGTGCGCTTCGTCCACCATCATCACGCTGTACGACGCGAGGTCGGGCTCGCCCAAGAACTCGCGGAGTAACATGCCGTCGGTCATGTACTTCAGCTTCGTCTTGTCCGAGGTGCAGTCCTCGAAGCGGATGGAGTACCCGACTTCGTTTCCGAGTTTCACCCCCGCTTCTTCGGCGACTCGAGCCGACACGCTCATCGCGGCGACCCTTCTGGGCTGCGTGCACCCGATCTTCGAGTCGCCCTTCGCGAGACCAGCCTCCCACATGTACTGCGGGATCTGCGTCGTCTTCCCCGAGCCGGTCTCGCCGACGATGACGACGACCTGGTGGTCCTCCACGGCTTGGATCAACGCCTCGCGGTACGGGTAGATGGGCAAGGACGCGCGATCCGCCGCCATGGCTTCGCGTTCCGACTGCGCCTTCTCCGCCTTCTCTTTCTCCATGATCTCCCGCGCGGTGAGCTTCGGCTTCTTGACCTTCTTCCTCTTCACCATCATGCCGTCCTCCTCGACCTCCTCCTCCTCGCTGCTGCTGCTCTCCTCGTCCGAGCTCTCGCCGACGCCGCCCATGACCTCGTCCTTGATGAACTTAATCTGATCCTCGAAGACGTACTCGTACTGCTTCCCCTCCGGCGCCTTGTCTTGCGCGCCAAACTTCGCGGTCGCCATCCCGATCTGATGCTTCTCCCACACCTCCTGCTCCCTGAACGGGTTCGTGTCGTCCGCGTCTTTCGTGTCCTTGTACCGATCGAGCGCGACTTGGAACCGCTTATCCCGGCCGCTACCGTCGCCCTCGTCGTACGTATCCGGCATGCGATACCTGTCCTCCATCACCGCGTCGATGTCGCGAACCTGCGACGTCGCGAGCGCGTATATCTTCTTCCTGTACGCGATGTCCCTCTTCTCCTGCTCCGTGAGCTCCTCGCCCTGGAACAAGTACTCCTCGACCTCTATCATGTCCTTCAGCTCTTCGAGCTTTTGCGTCTCGCGCTTCTTCAGGTACTCCTCTCTCGACACCTTCCGAAGGTCCGGAAGCAGCTCGTTCTGCTCGTCCGCGGCGAGATGCTTCCCGCGCCGCGCTTCCTCCATCTTCTCCTCCAGCGTGAGCGCGCGCTCCGCCCCGGGCGCGAGCTTCTTCGTCTTGTTCTCGTCCCTCGCGCGCAATCGCTCTTCGAATTCCTCCTTTTCGATTCGATCCTTCTCCCGAGCCTCGTCCGCGAGACGCGTCGCCCTCGCCTCGGCGTCCTCCCCCGCGGCCTCCTCTTCCTCCCATCGCTTGCGCGCGGCGCCTCCCGCGCCGACCATCTCGAGCGCGCGCTCGCGCGCTCGCACCGCGGTCTCGTCCTCCTCGCTGTCGCTCTCCCCGTCCCCTCGCGTCGATCGTCGCAATTTCTTCGTCTTCGCCGCGCGCTTCTCCTCCTTCCGCTTCGCCTTCGCCGCCGCGCGCGCGTCCTCGCCCTCGTCGTCGTCGTCGTCGTCGTCGAGCATCGCGTACGCGCGGTTGCGCTCCGCGGCCGCGAGCGCGTCGCGCTCGTCGCGCTTCGCCGCGGACGTCGCCTTCCCCGCGCCGCGGCGATCGCCGCCGCCTCCGCCGATTCGCGCGAGGAGATCGCTCGCGAACGCGCTCGTGGCCGCGCCGCCCGGGAGTCCCTGCGCGCTGAGCTGGTCCGCCAGCGCGCTCGCGTTGGACGCCTTCTTACCTGCGGGAGCGGCGCGGGGGGGGGGGGAGGGGGGTGGA